TTAATGTTTAACCTTAGTCGTTTTGTGAGGAAGGGAAAATGCAAAAGTAATGGTTAACCAGCAGAAAGCTCTATTTCTTGAGGACCTAAAGAGGACACTTCACTTTGATTCTTCCTACAATCCCATCTAGGGCTGCAGAAATCCACACACGCTGAGCAGAGCACAAATACTTTTCATTGCAGTGATGCCTTGCTCTGGTGGGTGGGGCTGAGGCCAAAACGAGAGGGGTTTGGGTCTGCCAGGGGCTTCAGCATCCTGCCTAGGGTGTCCTTCACTTAATTCAGGCCATCTCCAACAAGTGCTGAATTTAAGACAGCCTTCTCGTCTTCCTTCTGCAGCCCTTTCTTGTCATCTTTTTTAATTCTTCATATCCAACCACCACAGCATCAGCAATTATTAAAACCAGTAAGCAAGATGTCTTCTTAGGGTGTTTCCTTGATGTCTTACCCAGATCCTTCTGAGGCTGCTGTGCCTTACCCTTCCCAATATCCTCATTCCACACCCTACACCCTTCCTCTAGGCTGCAGCTGGCACCTCCTGTGACCATCTGGAGATACATTTCCCAGGGTCTGTTTTTGGCCAGTTCAGCTCCCCAAAATGGCCATGCACCGTGTGACATTGGTGCTGCTCAAAGGGAAGAGTGCAAATGCTTGGCCAAAGGTGAGGAAGGGATCACTGAGTTTCTTTAATGTAGGATAAATCATAAGCCAGAGGTGCCTGTGTCTCTGTGGTGGCCAGAGGCAGCCCCAGTGACCAGGTGCCTTGTGTTGAGATGCCTCCATGTCACCTTGAAGCTCTTCTGTTCAGTAGCACCATCTTATTTGTCCAACCACTGAATAGCTAAAGTTTTAGATTATTTTTAAATAGAAGTTGCTATTTATTAAACACTTCTTAGAGTAGGACCAAAAGCTTTGGCATGCAAGTTCTGGTTGTTGTCACTGAAGCAATTTCAGGTGTTGTTGGGCTGAACTACACATCACTCATCACTGATGCAGTGGCTTTCACTCAGAAAGTTGGACTTTGGGTCACACATTCCCCTCAGAACATCTCTTTTCTAAGGAGTGCTGCCAAACCAGTGAATACACTGGAAACATACACTACGCCATCAGATGGATTTGATTTGTGTAAAGATTACATCCAGGTGTACAAAGCCATCTGCTGCTACATCTTCTTTAGGTTTCTCAGAGGCAGCAAGAGAAGAGATAATGGGAAAAGTGTTTTCGCACCACGTGACACAGTGCACAGAACTGCTCTGTGATGGGAGCTGCATTGCATATCTGTGTCTGTCTCCATCATGGTGGCACCTGGATGCCACACTACTTCTAATAATTCCTAAGGTGCAGTAGAAATGGGCTTTTATCCTATTCTACACTGAGGTTATATGATTTGACAGCAGGTCCGGAAATTCAGATTTTGACTTTTCTTCTACTCTTTGACCCCCCAGTGCCCAATTGTATCCCTCTTCTTTGCCCACCTTTTCCTCCTTGTCTGCAGTTTCACCTTCCAAGCTCTCGGCACCAGCTATGGTGAGCCTCTCCATCTTGGCAACAGTTCTTGTCCTGAGAAATGTTAACGTCGGGCACCAAGGGGTTAGCAAAGTACTGCTCTTCAACCAAAATAACCAGCTTCCAAGTCTGCAAATTCTGCTGCCTAGATACAGCTAATTCTCCCCAAACACTAAGTCCCCTTGTCCCCCCAGCTCCTCCTCAGGAACAGCCAACTGCAAAGCACTAGATAACTATTATATTCATATGCATATATTATAAGCATTAGCTTGACGAGCTTGCTGGTGACAGCGTCAGTCATACTTCATCCTCCTCCTGTGGTCCAAAGCTGGATTCAACGCCCATGGGCCCACGCTGGGCTCACACGGCAGCTGAAGGGCCAAATGCCAGTTAATCTGGAAGATATCCTTTCCAACACCAGCACCTGACTTCCTGGCAGGCTTCCCCCAAGGTCTCCTCGGTTGTTCTGGCAGCTGGGACATGGACAATGTGCTTGGGGTTGGGTCAAGTTTTCCTCTTGGCTGCTTTGAGCTCTTTGATGCCATTTTCCTTGACTCACTCTTGATTACGGGGAATGGTCTCTATTACATTTTCAAATAACCTGATATCCATAAGAAAGGCTTTGGGGTAGGTTTTATTTCAAGTGTTATCCATTCTTACGTTTGCCTGATGCAGAAATGTAAGAATCGGTCCTAGAGCCAACCAAATCCTGGTGCTTAGCCCAGCAGTATATCGAATTTCTTTTGCATATCCAGAATGAAAATGCGCAGGCTTTTTACCAGGGACAGCCAATGTACGACATACCAGGGTAAGCACTCTGCTCTGTATTTTAGCAGATTTCAGGAATTTGTGGGAATTCTCTCTAACGATGGAGAGTAAAAGATCTGAAGAAATGCTCTCGCAAAAAAAAATACAAATGGGCGCTTTGATAACTATAAAGTTCCTTTCTTGGACCAAGAGCCCACATTAGGAACCAAATAAAATATTTAAAGGCAAAAATCTTGCAAACTTTCCTCCTGTGAAAAGGAAAATATGGTCTATGCTGAACCAGACCTTCCTTTTACAAAATCTGTTTAGGAGTTGCTATGAGACAAACAATATTCAACAAAGAGCTTGACGATTTTTGTTAAAGTTGCATTTATATATATTTCTAGGAAAGGTTGGTTTGATTTTTCCTTAAATGAAAGCGTCAAGTTGCATTTCAGACCACATATAAATGTAATTTTGCTCTCACATACTGCTTTTGTATCTGGTGTAATTCCATTTACTGCAGTGGTGTTACCTTTCAGTTACCCTAATGGGAACAAGAGCAGAATTAGGCCGACAAAAAAAACCTACAAAACTGCTTACAGAAAGAAGTACAGAAAGAAAGAACACAGAAATAAATACTTCCTCTGGCTTATTGAATATATTTGTTTGTCCAAATTGTAACAGAGATATTTATTTCAAGAAATATTGTTTGATCAGCAAAAGTAAACACTGATATATCTTAAACTCCAACAAGCAGTTTTTACAATTCATCAAACGACACCTAACTAAGATTAAGTTTAGTCGGTCAACTAAAAGAAACAAAAAAAAAGGTTTCAAGTCATATAATTATACCCTTCTGTTTCCCAACTTTCTTAGAAATCTCTGTCTAAAAATAATTCCAGCGTCCGGATGACTTGAACAATTGGCTTACTTTAAAACACATAAAAACTCTTATTCCGTCCTTAACCATTTTAAGGTCTCGGTGCTGGCACGAAGTCCTAGTGCTTAGCACTACTATATACCGCTTTCCATCGCCAAAGCACTTTACAAACATTAGCTAATTAATCCTCACAACACCCCTGTGAGGTATGTAGGTAAGTATTGTCATCCAATTAGGTAAGTATTAAGCACTGTTATCCCACCAGATAAGTATTAAGGTCTCCCATTTTACTGGGGATCCTGAGGACAACAGGTTAAGTTACTTACCAAAGGTCACAGGGGGAAGCGGTGGAATAAAACTTGGGATGCTCTGGTTTCTTGCTGGCTATTCAGGCATCCGGGCAGCATCCGGTGCTGCTCCCTCCACAAAGGCATCCCTTGCCATCCACATGGAAATTAGGGCTTTCTATACCCCCTCCAAGACACAGAGCAATGAGTACAGCCAGTGGAAAAGATGCGCCCGAGAAGCGCAACTTCTCCTTTTTGAGGTGGGCAAAGATGGCACGGTCTAGAAAACTTCTCTGGAATTTTATCAAGAATAAAGGTCTTGGACCAGGGTGTTTTCCTGTGGGTGTGCATGGACACACATTCAAGCATATTGTCAGGCCTTGCCAATCAAAAGCTCCTTCCTCTCCTCCTGATTTACCTGTCTTTTCCACCGTCTTGTAAAGATGGACTCATACTGGAGTCTCACACTCAGTCCCCACATACTTAAACCTACTGATCATGGTTTGCATCTTCTTATCATAAATATGTCCAGTTGGAAGCCCCAGCACAGAGGCTTCCAGGTTTGCAGGCTAACTTGAATCCACAAATACACTCGATGGGGCAAAGCCCTTTCCAGAGGATCTAGAAAACCAGACTAGCCCAGCACATTTGGGGTTTTAATCTAGTCTCAGCAGATGTCAAGCTGGTGAAATAATATCATCCATCCCCCAGAGACAATGCCAGTGGGCGCATCTGCTTTTAATTTCACTTCCCTGCTAGAGAAAAAGTGAAAGCTCCTACTGTAACTCCACTTGGAGCTGTGTTTGCAAGTTAAAGGAGTCCTGACTTGGAGTCCTATGGGGTTTGCTATGTTATGGAATTGTAGGCTGGTGTAAAAACACCCCCAAAAAGCAAATTTCACCCAAGTGAGATCATTACGAGCCACAATCCCAGGTGGGGCACGTTGGAGGGTCTGCCCAAGGACCCATCATTGGGTGATACATGATGGACAGTCATGGTTGTCCTCTTTCTCAGCAATGTGACATGTGGCAGCAGAAATTTTGTTCTGTGGGATCAGCCCGGGTGAGATAACAGCTCTTCTTCCAAATGTGGGGGACCAGCACGGCGATGTTCCAAATCTTGCTGGAGCTGGAGTAATCCCCACGCATAAAAAAAAACAACCAACAACCCAGACCTTGACTGAATTTCAACTGAGCTGATTTATGTTTTCAAGTGGAAGGCGGCTGTAGCTGAAGTAAACTACACAGTTTTTAGATCATTCAAAATTCATGGCAGTCTGATCCCACAGGACGTCAAACAAACACAAATGATTTGCCAGGAATCCCTACAAATTGAAATAACCAAACCTTGTACGGTTCCAACAAAAGTTCTAAGGAAATAAAAAAAAAAGGGGGGGATTAAAATAGAGACTTTTATTTTACTCATCTACACAAAAACATCTCCAGTGCAATATATATCCAGATCAAATGCACAAAAAGAGGTAGGCCAAACATCTAATGCCTTGAAACTCAAAACACCTCCAACCCACAAACCAAATATAAATAAACACATGGAAAGAAGAGTCATGAAAAAAGAAGGTAGATGTAGATTCTGTTGCATTCGTTGGAGAGGTTTTATTTGAACATCGGACTGAAATAAAAAAAATAAATCTGAGAAAACCAACACAAAATGCAGGTAATAGACATATCATGTGCGTTACAGTCGTGAGAATGAGAACAGGCAACCAAAAATGTGACAAGAATGCGCTTAGTTGTTATATTCTTTCGAGCTTGGTCTGACAGCATTTTTTCCTTTTTTTGTTCTATGTATTGGTCAAGAGCGTCTGCCAAAAGAATTTTCATGAATTTGTGCGATCCCATTTCCCAAAAACAGAGGAAATGATGTTGCTCCACAACTGCAAGACTCAGCTGTAGGTTTTACACCACGATTAGTAGCTGTACCCTACATGCCATCCCCCTGCCGAAATGACGGAGACCCAGCGAGTAGTGGAATTTCAGTGTGGGTTATGCAAAATGAAAGGATTAAAAAATGAAAAGAGCATTCACTTCATGTTGCTCCTTTAAAACATTATCACATAGCTCTCTCTTTTTTTTTTTTTTTTCCCTAACCTGACCTTTTTTTCCCAACGGTTTGTCTATAACTTAATATAACTAATTCTTTTGAAATAATGTTCACAGTTAGCATAATTGGTGTTATATAGTTCTAATGTACATTACAGAATATTCTGTCACTAGACACTAAATTGAAATTTTAAAGAAAATGATAGAAATAGCTGTAAGGGAAAAAGTACCCTTTTAAATCTAATTTGCTATGCACCGCAGTAGGGTAATGGATGCAATGAAAGTTCCTTTATTGAGTTCCCATGTCCAAAAGGTATTTAGGTAGCAAAGGATGTTAAGCAGACCCCCTGTGCTCCTCCTTTAAGTAAAGATAGCAGGAAATAAGGTATATAGGTTTGTGTCCTCCTGATTTTTATTTCCTCAGGAGTACAACTTATGCAAAGGGCACCTTAGGCTACTTGGAGGATCACAAAGGGTGCCCTCGACCCCCTCGCTGTCTGCATGAATAGAAGCATCTAAAGGATGGCTGAAGCCATACAGCGAGTTAAATCCTTCAGGTGGGTCTTTTCAAATTCCAATAGTGAGGAGTTACTGGAGAATTGGTAAGGATTTCACTAGGCCCCAGCAGGTTTGAGATCAAAAGCCCTGGTTAAATAAAAGCCTGTTGGGAAATCTTAAAACCTCTTTGTAATGTAACTTAAAAAAGTTAATACAAAGAGCCCTTAGACTGAAGCCTGTAACAGCATGAACAAAGAGTATATCAAAACTGATTCCATTAAGGGAAGGCAGACAAATAAATTCATTTAATTTAAAGAGAAATCAGATATATTACTCTGCTAAAAACTAAAAAGCATACCAGGAAAAAAACCCCTAGATTTTACAGTACACACACGCATAGAGCTGTGAATAATAGCAATAGCTATATGTAAAATCTATTTATAAATATCTCTCAGAACAGAGAACAGAATGTTATATACACACGTATATGTTTAAGTATCAATTTATCCAATATGTGCACGCGCGTGTGTGTATAATTCTAGTATATACATATTTTTATCATTTATGAGGCCTCACGCTGGGCTTTCAAATCTGCAGTTAGATATATCTATATATGTACCCAGAAAAATGCAGCAGAAAGAGCCCCTACATTCAAACCTGACACCAGAACATTTTTCAACCCAATTAATTAAAAAAGATGGGTGCTCATCAGTCAGCTGGCACAGGTTGCTTTTTTTTTTTTTTTTTTTTCTCCATCATATTGCCAAAATGTCACAGTGTTAGTTATGCAGCATGTTTAAAGCAGAAAAATCTGGGATGAGGATTCCGACACCATTTATTAACTGACCTCTTTCTGAACAGCTCTTAGACTTTTAACTCGTTGGGGGGTCCTGCACCAAACGTGGAGGGGCAAGGGGGGTGTAGGAAGGGAGAGACATAGAATTACACCAAATTGTTTAGGTTGGAAAAGACCTTTAAGATCATCCTCTTGGTGACACGCTTGAAGATGTCATGTTGGATGCCAGTGGCACAGGCACTGGGGATGTCACGATGGGGAGAAGGTCCCTCACTTCCCAATGGGGTTGGGTCACCTGGGCACAGGATGCTCTGGTACCCGTGGGAGGGAGGGGAGCCATGTCCCATCGCCCCATGGCTCTCTCTTCCCCACCATGAAGAGTCACTAATAATTTTGCTCCTTCCACCCTCCAAGAAAGGAAAAAGTGGGGAGCGGGGGGTGATGAGAGGCTGAATTTTACTGCACTTGTAAGGCTTTTTGTTATTATTGTGCTGGGCGGAGAAGTGGGTATCTCATTAGTAGAAAGCATATTTTACCATTTAAGAAGCGCTATTTCTCTCCCAGATTTCCTAGGCTGTGCAGCTAGAAGAGGGAGATGTAGGTGTTGTACAAACCAGGGTGAATGCCTGCAAAAATCAGTGTTAATGTTCTACAGGATTTCTTTTTTTTTAAAAAAAAAAAAAACAAACAACAAAACACCACACTTTTCTCCTTATAATTAAAAACTGACCTTTTAGCTCAATAATGCCAACCCTGAGCTCATTACGTTCATGTATAGTGGGGGAATGGCATCTACTCTCCTCTAACCCCCCCTTCGTGCTACCAACCCAAGAAACACTACCCCTACGGCAGGCACAAGCCCAACTCTGTCCCTGTACTCTCTAAGAATAAATTTTTCTGAAGATAAGAAATCAGTAACGTATCTCACATATGGTTGCCTTTCATCCCAGGGAGCAGCCATAGTTTCACAACCTACACCAATGGCATTAATTTTATTTTTATTTTTTTCATTTAGACCCCTAAAATGCACAATAATTCAAAGCCTTTTAAGTATAGGTATGGTTGTCATTTTAGCAATGTCATTGCTGGTTATCTGGGGTGGATCCCAGCAAACAGGTGCAGAGACCACTCCTTATCAATGGACCATCGCTCTGTGAACAAAATCACTGTGGTGTCTGCTGAAGAACTGCCCTTTCCAAGAGCAACCCCAGCAAATGGGCAAAACAAAGGATGCCAGATTGAGATGGGACCATGAGGGAAACCCAAGAAAAAGATATTGATATTTAGGGGACCTTGGTCACAGTGCCCTGACTGATATTCTTGCCCTGGCAACAAGTATCTAATAATCACAGGAGAGAGACGTCACTTTTGGCTTCTTGTTTGAAAGAAAACATCTCCAAAAGCACCGTATCTAATAATATCAAAGGTTGTGGTGGCCTCTGCATTGCTGACAATTTTTAGACTGGTAGAGGATGAGGTTTTCTGGTTCAAACAGGAATTAATTGAGGGAAGTCATACGGCTTGTGTTATACACGTGACACCAGATGATCCAAATAGTCCTTTCTTGGCCTTATAATCTACAAATAACCTTGTGGAGGTACTGCTCTCCTGTGGATTAGTGGCAAACCAATGCTCCTCTTGCTTGGATGAGTTTTCTGATCTAAATACCTTCCAGACCTGCGTGGCCTACAGGATTTGACTGGATCACGGTCTCAGACGGAGCCACTGCCAATTAACGCCAGACATGCGATAAACCGGGGTAGGACACGCTCTGCTTCAGGTGATGGGTGGTTCTGGAGTATCACGAGTGGCTACGTAACAAGCCAGGTCTGAAGGAAAAAAAAAAAATTGCTGTAAGGATGCTTAGAAATATTAGTTTATACTTGCTATCTTTAAATTACCTTGCACTGTAAGAGACCCAGACTATCAGACACCATGGACCTCTTTGGGTCTGAATTGATGGGATTCATTTGCAAGAGCAGGGTATAATTGTAGCCATTTTATAGTCTATAAAAATCATAAGATTCCAGAAAGACACGGGTAACAGTACAACCTATTCCCGTATGGGAAGTGGAGCATATGGGGTCTTGTCTATCTTGCTTGGATTACCAGGCAGAGGAAATACCTGGCTGAGCAGCGCTCAGGAATTATCAGGTGGATGACATTACAGGAGCAAGCTGGGTCTTTATTTATTTGCTTTATAAGGGATGCCTGCGAGTTCAGGTTGTTGGAGTTACATAAATACTAAGCTTCCTCCAGCCCTGATCGCTCTAAGTCCTCCCTTGCCATCGGTCAGGGCAGTCTGCAGAGAGCTGGGAAATCTGTCTGATGGAAACCCCTCCAAACTCAGCCACCCCCTCAAAGTCAACCAGAAATATTCCTTAAACTCAGATATCCTTATTTCTGCCCCTATCTCTAACCACGCTTCCTTTTAACCCCTAGGATAATTCGCTATGTAGAAGGGAACGTGTCATTTATTAAGTCAACAGCCACCTCCTTTTTCATCTACAAAAACTTCTTCGAGGCTCTCCTTTCAAGTACCAAAGCTATTTAGATTTGCAGGCTGAGACCCTAGCAAAAGGTGGAAGAACTTACACTCATTACGTTGATTAATCAGCTGCTGAAATTTGGCTTTTCAGTGGGACACCTCCGTTCTCTGGATGTGTGTCCTGCTGCAACGTAATCAATTTGTCTGCGCGGGCTCCGAAACCCCAGAGCCACACAATGCAAAAAGGCAATCTTCTGCCCTCTTTGACCACAATAAGCAACATTACTGAAATCACTGCTCCCGTACAAGGGTAGCATGACCCCATACTTGTAGGCAGCAGAGTATGACTTCGTTAAAAAACATACACTGTGTTATAGGGCCTTCAAGCTTCTGCGAGAGAAGCCAGCATCAGAGCAGCACATGTCTGAAACTGATAGTAAAATGGGTAATGCCTTAAACCCCACCTCTATACCGTTATTTACATACTTATCTTTCATCTGACATAGGCTTCCCCTCCAGCACCTTGAATATATCAGTCCTAAGGAAGAGACTTTAAGTTCAAAGAGTGCCATCCCCGAATCAAAGTAGGGGGTTATCAAGTGAGGTGCGCCGAGCGTTAAGACAAAACATATGCATTTTTAATAGGTAGCCTCTCCTCCCCCTGAGGAAGCCAAGAAAAGAGACTCTGTGAAGCTTCAGCAGAAAACAAGTTCAGTGGATTTTTAATACTCGGGCTGCAATTCTGAAAAAAAAACCAACCAAATTCACAACATTCTCACAGATCTTCGCTAGATGTTTTCTCAGCACCCTTCAAAGCACCATTGACCAGGTGAACTCATCTCCACGCAGCGTTGAAAAAGAAGACAGGGAGGGGGGGAAAATAATAAAAAAATAAATAAAGAAAAATTTAAAAGGCCATGAAAGAGAAACAAAATTCTCAACAGGTCTGTATGGAATTCCAGCAGCACTTTATTTATTAATGCCTACGTTGCTACCATTGTGTTCCGGCTCCCAGAGACAGATCTGTAAGGAATAGGCCACATGCTGATTGACAGCAGCCATAATTCCATACAATGAGACTGTATTAAATTGTTTGATGTGATATGATACTCATCACTTGTAACTGATCAAACACACTGCTGCATCAAACACTATTACAATACAATCAGCCTGGATATGGCTCCTGCCAAGGCTGCTCATCACGTTGCACACTTCTGCATTAAACATTTCTATTAATAGCATTGACAAACTACTCCTATCCAAATTTTTTTTTATTTATTTTTTTTATTTTCCCAAAGAATTGTGCGACGCCAAACGTGCAAAGCAATCCATACATAAAGCTTTGCTGTTCCAGGCAGCATCTCCGTTGGCTGAGCGCTTCGACATGAAAGGCTTTGCTGATTTGGGGATTTTTAGCGGATAAAACCCAAACTTGCAAACCCCAAAACAAAGATGCGACATTCCAGCTTCCTTCTTTTTTTTTTTTTTGTGAGTTGGATTTATTTTTTTTTCCCCTTTCCTAAAGACTGAGTGGGTTTGTTTTTTTTTTTGGAGCCATATTTTGCTTTTGCTCTGGTTCCCCCCAGGAGAGCTGCTCTCGCCCGCTATCTTGCAGGAGGGAGCTGTGTTTGCTAACACTGACCCTTTTAGAGGCGGGAGGCATAAATAAAAGAAACAAATTCCTTGTCACCGCTGCTCCTGCCGCAGACACAGAGGGTGAGGGGCTGCAGCCCGTGGGGGACAGGCCCTCGCTGCGACATTACAACTGTAGGGGCTCTCTCTGATGCAGATTCTTAAATGAGCCCGGGTCTCTAGAGGGCAGAGGTCAGCTGTCCTCAAATCTGTGTGAATGCTAGATTAAGTTTATTAATCTCCCCGCTTTCACTTAAAAACCAAATTATAGGATGGTTAAATGTTAATGCCCGGGAGCTCGGGGGATGATGAATGCCCTCAGCTACCGCCGCTCCAGGGAACACAAGGTGTTCAGACCCCAAAAGGGTATTAGAAGTTAGTGCCAGGCACTAGGGAATATGGTTTTTCCCCCTGAATTACCACACGCCTGACGCCTGGTGTGCATTTTGCTTGCAAATGCAGCTCCCCCCCCCCCTCAGACAGGAGAAGAAGAGACACAGTTGCTGGATGAAAAGCTGTTGGCACCAATTCAGGCACCGGTGTGACTGCCCACCTCTACCCGGGGTAGAGCAGATAGGTCCACCACACCATAGGAGGGCATAACCTCAACCACAGCTCTTTCTGTAGAATTTATACCCGTGCCCGGGTGAGATTCGAAACACCCATCTCTCTGCACGGACCCTCCAGGAGCTGCATGAAACCAAGCGTGCGATGAACATGGTATTTAGCAACCTCCGAAACCGCTTCCATCAGTGTATCTCATAAAACTACTCCAGCATGTAGAAATGAAGTGATAAATGAGTACCAGGGTTCCATATAATTCCTCCCGGACAGGTATGCACATCATAATTGGACAATCTACCCCCTTGATTGCTATCTCAGCTTGGGAGACCAAGGATCGCATAGCCATGGAAAATACGAAGTAATATGCAGGAATGCATGCCTGACTGTCTGAAACTGGCTCAGAAAACCTTTTCTTTTTTTTTTTTTTTTTTTTTTTTCGGGTTTTTTTTGGTTCTTAGGTCTTCCTAGCCAAAGCTCACAAAACCTTTTTTTTTTTTTTTTTTTTTTTTGAGTCGGGATTGTATACATTTCACATTTATGAATTTTGGCAAACTGCAGTGACAGAAGGTGTCTTTTGTCCTGCTTTTCACTCCTGTAGTGTCAGCCTGAGCAGACTAAACACAGCGCCCGGGCAGCAAACCATCTCTGGTGGTGGAACCAGCTCCACAAAGACTACTCAAGAAAGGTGTGTAAGGCAGTCCCTTTTCCTAACTAAAAAATAAAATACAATAAAATAAAGTCTTTCAAGATAGAGAGCTGTCTCAGAGCAGTACCTTAAGACTGACTTATGGTGGAAAACACCCAGGAAAGGGCTGGAAGGGGCTTTGACGGGCAGTTCCGAGCAGGAACAGCCCAGCGCAGCGCATTGAGCTAAAGAAGCTGTAACTTTCTATCTGGGTGTAGCTAAGTAATTCAAGATGCTGCGAGTTAAATGTAACAGTAGAAAGGAAGAAGTTCAAAAACAAAGTCCCAGGCATTTCGGCGCGGCGTATAGTATGCTAAATTGTGGTATGACAGAAATTGCTAAGACTTCGGCCACAAAAGGTTTCATACTGCACCAGCATTCTGCCAGGGCTGGGTCCCAGCAAGCCCTGACATTTTTTCCCTTCACCTGTGCTTTTCCCCCCCACCCCCCATTCCCTGTTTGTTAAAACACAAACAACAAAACTCCCCCTTTATCAGAGAATTACCCTATCAGAGAATTACAGCCTGAATCAGAGGTCCTGAACGTACCTCCGCCTTTATTAAATCAGCCCAACCCCAAAGTCACCACGCACCAGGCAAAGACAACTGCAAATCTGCTCTTACCCTCCCCGTACCACCTGAGTGCCGCTATTATTCCTCATCCTTGGGGAAAGGACCCCATGTGTGAGTTTCAGAAACCACCTCAGTAACTCCAAGCATCATTATCACTAGTAGGATGAGCTGCAGCTGGGATGCACCGGGAAGGCAGGGTAATACTCGCCCTAATCTCTGCATTCAGCTCGCTGGCCCTCGCTAGGAAGTTTAAGTACATTTACTGGGGATTCTTCAGCCCTTGAAAGGTAGGGAAGACATCTATGAGGCTTGACGTACCAGCTAATTAACTTGGGTTTGGAAAAAAAAGAAAAAAAAAAAATCTTCTTATCTACTTAACTTCGAGACACTCTCTTTGTTTTTAAGCCTGCAGACTACCTTCTCTTTAAAATGCACATTACGTACAACTCGGTAGTATGGAATGTATTATTTTTAACGAGGACCTATTTTAACTTGGACCTAAAACTACTAACATTTGACAGAGAGGGTTGTTTTTTTTAAAAAAAAAAAAAACACAAACATTTGCAGAATCAGCCGAATGACGGTGTATAGCCTGTGTTTTGCAAGAAGGGCTACAAAATCATCGTGCTTTTTCTCCCTGTCCTTAAAAATCCAGGAAGGTGAATGTACGAATCACTTGGAAATGAACCCCCAAATGCACACCCGCTCCCCCAAATCTACAAGGAGCTTCTCAAAAAACCTTCCTGTTTTTCACCTCTTGGTGTCTCAGAGGAGGGGGGAACACTGAGGCTGGGAGAAAGTGATTGAATTCGTGCCTGCAGTAGTTGGGGCACGTGAGTATTTCACGCAGCTTCTTCCGACAGGCGTGAGCAACCCCCGAAACATCCCTGCTCAGAATGAAACCACACCGAAATACAAAAAATAAAAATAAAAAAATTCCTGCAAGTTGCACACAGCGATTTTAAATCCTCCCCATATTCCCAACAGATAGAACAGTGGCATGATTGACCAAGCTTTTTTTTTCCTCCTTCTTCTTTTTTAAAGTACACATATGATGATGCATCATAGTTATAAACAGATGGTATTTGGCCTCCTTCCTATTCTCAACATTTGGAATTCCTAAACTATGTGAATTAAACAATAATATTTTATAAACATACAAGGGATTTTGCTCACTGCTTTGTTAACATAGAAATTATACAATGCTGACATTTATTTAAATTTTAAAAAGTAAACAAGAGTGTGTATTGAATTAAAGCAAACTAAAATCAACAGAAAGAAATATGTTCTGCGCGCACGTTACCTACAACGGCACCGGCCTTTTTCGGGGAGACATAATGGGATGAAGCACAAATTGTAGCTTAGACAGTCTGATCCTTTGTGCTCCAAAGGCTCATTTAACACCTCGCCGTAAACAACGGATATTTATACCATAATTGGCCCGCTGACCATCAGTTGTTCGTTTACTGTGTAACCTGCTATTATGGAGTTAAAAGAAGTTCCTTTCTTGTTGGCTTTTCTAGGAGTGAAAGTGTGTTTGCAATTTTAGTACCAACTGGATCCAGTCTAACACTTGTACTTAGTATGAGAAACATTTTCATAATACCAAAATTTGGGGGAATAGGGAGTATTCCTGCCAGGAAGGGAAGAAGAAAGTATTGGTTCTTAAAAGAAGAATTCTGTTTGCCTGGTTTCCTCTTTCCTTTCCGTTTTAACCCCTTTTTAGGCGCCTCTCGAGCCGCGCGAAACTGAGAAGCACTTAGGTTTTAATCACTATTCCCAGGTCTGCGAAAGAGGTTCTGTGATGAATAAATAATGAAGCCGAGATTTTAATCAGTGTTATGATTTTTGAAAAGGCTAATTATCATTGTTTACAGACATGCTTTTCCAACGTATTTCCTTGTTTTGCCTTCAAAGCTCCAAGGGTTAAGCCCCCCCTCGCATCCATCCATCCCTCCATCCCTCCCTCCCTCCCATCCCTCCTCACCACCGCCACCGCGCTCCTTTGCCGGCTTTCCTTGCGGGGTTTTGGGGTGGTTTTCGGTTGTTTGGGGATTTTGAGGGTGGGTTTGTTGTTTTTTTCTTTTTTTTTTTCCTGGTTTCGGAGCTCGGACACCCAAAACGTAAGGGAGATTCCGGCCGGAGGCGCGCAGGGCTGGGGGAAAGGCTCCCCACCCCGCGCAGCCGCTCCGCACCCGCGGAAAAACCACCGCGGGGGGTGCATGTGTGTGTCTCTTTCTCTTTGCCGGCTCTTTATATAAACGCTACGAAAGAATATATTTTTTTCCCCCCAAAATAACGTTTTTGCTATCAATAATATTGATAATAAATGGATATTATTTGATACCCGAGGGCTGCGGGAAGCAGGCAGCCGCCCGGGAGATGCGGGGAAAAGCCGGGGCTGGGCTCCGCTCCCGCCCGCGGTGCTGCGCGGAGAGGCGCGGACCGCACCGCGGG